GAATCGCTGGGGAAAGAGAGTCCAGTATAACTTGCATGCGCATGTGCAGGACCAGCCAATCAGAATAAAGTTGAATTTTGAGAGCCCGCAATTTATAATGGTCAGTGGTTTGTTTACTTCACGTGCATCTTGAATTTAGTTGGGTGGAATTTAGATCCGTCAACTTAACGGCAGAAATCCCCTGAGAAGACCTCTGAGATAGCTGATCGTCCTTCAGAGAAATTAAAGGAGAAACCAGTACTAAGCTTGATGAAGTGCAGGTTGTATCATCGGTGGACAGAATAAAATCACAGACAAAGGGAAAGAGAGTATAGATTTTCCAAAGCCAGTACTAAGATTTACAAAAACATATTTTCCAATTGTTAATTCGTGAATGGCTTGAAGCTGTTCGAACTTAGGACTAAAATTATATTTACATTTTTTTAAGGCATAACTAACGGCATTTAGAAAAGCCGGTCCAAAATTATCTTTGTATTTCAAGTGGAAACTACCTTCCACTGCGCTCTCCGACATCTTGGTAATTGTATAGGACTAGGTAACCTCGTGATTACCACATCGGTGTGGTAATCACGAGGTTGCTAACATGCGCATGCAAGTTATACTGGACTCTCTTTCCCCAGCGATTCCGCGAGCGTCGGAAACGAGAGGCCAGAACTGGACTAGCCCAAACGAAGCTTATAATGCAATTTCAAACCGCTGTAACATCAAGAATTTTTATTTGTTGACTTTCATACTCTGAAAATTGTTATTGAGGACCTAAACTGTAAATCAAAACAATTTGGCCAGGGTGCATAGGCACTGCACTTTACAGTCAGCCTGAATACTCCATTTTACAGTTCCAGGCGCCATCTTGAAAGTTTTTTTTGAAAAGACTTTGCATGAAAGCGAGAGAGGAGTTGAGTCTGCAATGATAGATACCTTTTGTTCACACCTAAGACAATTATTCACAGGTATCTATCACTGCAAGCTCAACCACTGCCTCGCTTTGATGCAAAGGCCCGGCTACCTTTCAAGATGGCGCCTGGAACTGTAAAATGGAGTATTGATCGTTTTCAACCATTCCCATGAAATTCAAAAGATAAAAGACCGGCCATGTTGGAGGACTGAACAATAGATTCTAATGAGAAATCATTTGTCTTATGTACTTGAAAAACCTTCGTTAGGCTCATTGGAAATATTTTCTTTCATAACGAGGGACTTAGCCGTAATCTGGCTAAAGTTCCTTTTGTGAGTGAGCAAATAATCGTCTGCTAGTTCTGCAGCTTTGTTTAGAGTGGATGCTTTCTGTTCATCCAAATATGTTGAAATTTCTCTTGGTACGCATTGTTTAAACTCTTCAAGCAGAATCATTTGCTTTAATTTATCAAAGTTTTTGTCGACATTGTTTGAATGGCACCAACGGCTCAAATGAAGATTCTTTGTTCTTTGCAAATTCAACATATGTTTGATCACTCGCTTTCATTGAATTTCTAAATTTGTTCCTGTATGCTTCGGGGAATAATTGATAGGCATTTAAAATAGCTTTCTTTGCGTATTCATAACCAGAGCTATCTCGAGAGGCATTGCAGAATAAATTTCTTGGGCTTCGCCCACTAAAGACAAGCAAGCAGTCACCTTTGCTCGCTGGTAATTGTCTCAAGATGCGAAAAGTATTTATCCACGCAGTCCTCACTAAACGGAGGCACGAGACTGTTCTTAGCAATGTCAAATTTTGTAGCAGAGGCACTATCAACTTTTTGCTTTTGACTTTCGGCTAATTTGACTTCTGATTCTTTGAGTTTTACTTGAGTGTTCAGCTTTTCCTTTTCAAGTTCGAAGCGATATTTCAGTTCTGCTTCACTAAGTCTTACATGTAGTTCGTTTTCTTTTTCTAACTCAATTTCTCTCATAGATTTATCAAATATTTGAGCTTTACCTTCTTCTCCTTCCTCTTCTTTATCCTCATCGTCCTCTGAAAATGCTGACGCTAATACCAGACCATTATTCTTAATTAACTAAACTCTCTTCTTTAACTTCAGCTTTCCTAGCCGTCCGGGTAATTTCAATCTCTAAAGCCTTTGCAACATCCAATAATTCGTCTTTCAATAACGAGTTGACAAGTCTTGATCTTTTCATTACCTCCTCCAGAATAACGGACATCTTAATGCTTTGAAGAACGTACTCATTCACTTCATTTTCCCGTCTGAGCCCCAATTTTATTACGTTCAAATGTCCAGCCAAGACGCATGATATCAACTGACTTTAATTACACGATTCTGGTTTATATACATACTGCGATTTCCGTTGCCTAATTAACGTTAATGGAGCTAAATATTATGCCAAACAAAACTGCTTTAATGCTTTGATACTGTTCAAAACACCCATTAAATCGGTGCATGGCAAGATTTTCATTTGTGCAGGATTTCCCAAAACAGGCACGAAAACTGTGTCAGCTGCTCTAGGCATACTTGGGTTCCGTGTCTACGACTTTGATGAACAGTGATGAGTTCATTCAGGCTTTCTCAGGAAAGGAGATGCCTGATTTCTACAAGATGTACTCCAACATTGATGCCATCATAGCTGTCCCAGGATCTTCCAGGCGTTTCCACAAGCCAAAGTCATCCTAGAGTTGAGGAACAACGCGGAGATGTGGACTTCAAGTATACTTAAGACATGTAAAGTCTTTGAAGCAAGCTTCCAGAAGATGTGGGCAATTCTAGCCGTTATGTTCACTCCCTCAGGATGCAAAGTTGCAAAGCTTTGGCCCTTTGTAAAGAGATACTTCGCATTAGATGGTGGAGACAGAAGGAAATTGTGTGAGCTGTACGAAAAGAACAATGAAGAGGTACGTTGGTCTATTCCCTCTCACCAACTACTCGTCATGAATATACAAGAAGGGTGGAAGCCATTATGTCGATTTCTTGGGCATGATGTAGCTGAATGTGATTTTCCCCACCTTAATGTCGACAGCAGTTATGTTGTTACTTTCTTAGATAAGAGACGCATCGGTAACAGGATGTACAAGGAACTGGTTGCACTTGGTGCATTGCTAGTTATAATATTGGCATTTGCTATGTATAGTTTATTATAAAACTTATTAATAATGCATAAGCTATTGCTCCAATAAGGGCTGACCATTTAATCAGGTGATTGACCTTGTAAATCTGATACAACCACTAGTGGTTGTATCAGATTTACAACACGGTCGTCACCATTGAGACAACCCAACACTAGCAAAGGTCTCAGTTTTAGTGTCGCATCATAGACGACCTTCACTAGGTTTTAAAGCAATCAAAGACGGATAACAGAACTCGCTTATGCAACAGATGGCTTGCTTTCCATGTGGGATGGATAATTATTCAAAATATTCTGTGTTGCAGTAAATTGCGCATGCTTAATAGGGACTAAACTCAGCAGTTACCTTATTTGTCATTTTTCGTCATTTATCTCACTGTAATTCATGTTAATTTGTGTTGGAGTTTTATAAGTCGTTTACAACATTCGCGTCCGTGTTGTATGGGAATTACAATCTCTCGCCTGCGGCTCGAGATTGTAATTCCCATACAACACGGCCGCTCATGTTGTAAACTATACGTATAACTCTTCAGACAGACAGGCAGAGCAACACAAAAAGTATGTATGTTCCTCCCACCTTTCACAATTTCTGGGTCTCTCTTGTTTACTATACAGACTACAAGAAGTCCTTTATGATTCTAATCCCCCACCACAACTCAGAATAGTGCAATCAGATTTGAAGAAATTCCCAATTTTGGTTCAAAAAGTATGAAAAAGAGGTTTGTGTATCTTCAGGGACAAATATGTCACTGTGCAAACAGCAATTGCGGCCATATACTGCTGTGTTAGATGGTAAATACTTAACTTTATATGAAGTCGAGCTTTCGCTGTTCTACAGCAACACCAGGACAGTAGAACAGCGAAACTAGCTCGATTTCATATACAGTTTTAAAAGTATTTACCATCTTGCAGCAGTTGATGGCCGCATCTTCTATGTTATTACTCTCCTACTAACATGCTGCTGAAGGAAAACATCTCAAGAGTAAACAGGAAATGTTAGCTTGAAATATAAAACGTGATTGGAAATCTTTCAATACATTAAGACACCAACCATCATTATTTTTTGCCTTTTGCAAGAGTTGTTTGTTCGAGGCTAATAACACTATACTTGATTCAGGTGGTCATAGTTTAGGTAGTAAGTGTGATTTAAGCAATGATAAATAAAAATCAGAATTAGAATCTTGGTACAGTAAATCATTGGACCAATAGATAGATGAACGAGTCCATATACTAAGGACTTAATCCGCGATTTAGGAAGAAATGCTACAATTTGCACGATTATATTAGTATTGCACAATTACAGTTTTATTGAGGTGATTTCTATAATAACATTGACTGCTTAATACGGTGCCCTGACGTACTTTATCTATAGACGAAACATACATGTTTATCTGACATTCTGTCATGTACTCCTAAATTATTCAAGAGTATTTTAAGGCATCAGTAAGTAGTTCAATTGAATTGAATATATGAATAATAAGTTCAGCTTCAAATTTGTACACTATTTCAAGAGCTCGACTGCTGGACATGACGGACTGTCAATTTTCCTGTCGGTGTGACGAGTTAACATATATTTCAATGCAAACGTCAATGGACAAAGTAGGGGAATTTCCAAGGAAGTCCCATGCAAACAGAGTCAGATATGGATTGTTAATAATGCATGGTGTTGTCATGGAAGGATCCAGGATCTTTAATATGTTTCTTCTCGGGGCTTTTCGAATGCGTCGATCTCAGGAACCTCATGGAGGTCGACTTCTCGTTGGCCTTTCCACGGAAAAAGTTACGAATGTCTTTACGGAACGACTTGCTGATGGCGCTATACATAATTGGGTTAAGGCATGAGTTTGTAATGGAAAGAAAACGTGTAAACTCGTACGCAGGTCGCATGATTTCAGATTTAAGGTAGCTCTTATCGAAGGTAATCATCAGCACGCAAATCTGATGCGGTAAGACGCAGATAGTGTAGATAGTGACTAGACCCGTAAGTACTTGCGTCGTTTTACGGTTTTGACGTTCACGGATCGTCATGGTAGATTCTTGAAAGAGTCCATTTTTAGAGTTTCTCTGGTGTGTTCTCTCAAGGTGAAGGGCAATGGCGATATAGCAGTAGCCCAACGCAATGGCAGGAATTACAAATTCAGGTGTAAACACACCAAATATATAAGTTATTTGGAACTGAAGGTTGTTTTCCCAAAAGCTCAAATCAATCCGACATTCGCCCCCAGGGTCCAGTTTTAGCGCAAACACATAGGGAAGTTGAAGGCCTGAGGCAAAGATCCATATGACAACTATCATGACAAAAGCCTGTCGCCGTGACAGCCTCTCCTTTAGGGAGTGTACAATGGCTTTATATCGATCCACTCCGATCGCCGACAGGGTCAGTCCAGAGACCATTACCGACAGTTTATTCAAGGAATTGATAAACTTACACATAAACGCTCCAAAAGGCCAAACGTACTTTAGTTCCAAGTAAGCCAAATCAAATGGTAAATACAGAAGTATAGCCATCAAGTCCGATAATGCTAAGTTCAGAATAAAGTAACCATTAGCTGATGAATTTCTTCCTTTCTTTAAGATCAACGCAGACACAATAGAGTTACCAATCAGCCCTATGGCGAACACCACCGGGTATAAGATCAGCCTCGTGTACCGGATAGCCGGAGGTGCATCAGAAACACCACTGTACATCGTAGTATTGTTGAAGCTGTTCATGGTGAGGCTTTCAATTTTCTGAAAAATTGAAAAAATAATGTCAAGTGTGTAAAAAATCGTGCCAACCTGGTACTGGCTGGCTTATCCTCGTTTATCAAATATATTGGGTTCTCTGTGCTGTATAGATAAAACGTAGTAAGATTTCGCAATTTGATCTCAACGAGTCTTCTTCAGCCAGAGAAAAGACACTATTTGCTTTCTATCGTAAATTATTTGAACAGCATTTGCATAATTTATCAATCACCCATAGCAATATTATAGGGACCAGTCAATCATAATAACAACCTTCAATTCTAACTATGACTACTCTCGCAATAGTACAGTATATAGTCACAACTTTAGCGACGGCGAAAAAAAACTGCGGACAATTGCAACAATTACTGAAAAAGAACCAGAAGTACCACGTTATTATCTATTAATAAGTAAAAAATAGATGAATGCTGTTTAATATAGAACAAAACAACTGTAAAAAAATTAAAAAAATTTTAAAACAATAAAATCAATTAAAAAATCATCATTTTTTTGTTGTGAACAACCATCTTAAGTACCATTCAGCCCCCCAATAAACGAAATACAAAAAAGACAAACTAGCAAATAAACAAATAATAACCGAAAGAGAAAGGAAAAAAGTATTGAAAACATTTTTAGGGACTTGGGCAAATTGGACAGGACAGTTGATAGTGAGATTGCACAACAACAGGGTGAGTACACGATGTTTATCGTAAAATCATCGTAACGGAAATTGGAACGGAATTATTATCAGCCATGTACACAAAACAAAAGACTTCATACAGACTTCAGCTTAAAACAACAAATAAGAATGACTACACATTGCATATGAAGACACAGAAGCTGAGCATCAACTATCGAAACAGCTTTTGCAAAAGAAGTCAAAATCAGTTGACTTTTGTTGCACGAAAGACTGATACGATGATTGACTTATAATCAATAAAGTAATGAGTGTCAAATCCAGGCTTCAGAAGTCAATGTTAATGAAAATACCAAAAAAGATATCAATGAAAATGTTTGAGAAATGTGAGAATAGAGTTGATGACGAGTGATGGCGGGAATGGAACAAACTGAATGATGGAAAAATGGAAAGAAATGAAATCTCAAATTATAATAATATAAAATATTTGCAAAATAAATCATAGTTGGAGAAATAAAATATCTAGATAAATGGAATAATACATACTAAGGTCAGGAGCAGCGTAATTGTCTGTGTTTCATAGAATTCACTTCATAGATGAGCCAAAACTGCACACAAGAGACCTAAGAACACACTGACCTATTTGCATTGGATTGTCAAGAGCATGTCAGACAGCACGACTGACAAACTTCTTGCAAACTGACAGGTTATTCCGTACTTTTTACCTTAAAAATACACACTTTTCGCTGCTAACTCAGAATTGTGCAAAAATCGACTGTCAAAACCCTTTTAGACAGCGGAAACACATTTTTTTCTCTTTTATAAAAGTCGAGAGCTTGATATTCTCTTCACTTCTAAAGCCTTTGTCCATTTTTATTTTAATGTAAAGAAAGAAAGCATTTTCAATTAAACAAGGCTTTCTCTGAGTAAGGAAATTTTATTAATAATTTTTGGAATAAGATTGATAATTCGACGAACTTCGAATTCAATCTCACCTTGACATGTTCACCCATTGTTACCAGTTCTATGCTTTCATGCTAGCCAACAATTATTTATCATCAGACGCCGGTCAAACACAATAATATTTCCTCAAAATAAACGAATCAGATGCTATCGAACTTCAAAACTTTGGCTAGTACTATCTTTATGACAGTGATATTGCGCGTGTGGGGGTGCAATCAGGAAGCCAGCAGGCTCTAAGATAATAATTGAACTCCTAGAATGGTAGAGCCATCGAAACTCAAATACAAGCTCATTTTTACTCCATGTATCTTTAACCTATGTGTTCATATGTTTACAATCTTTTTATTTCGCATGTATTTCGCGATAAGCTTCGTTGTAAAAACTCATAAATGAGAAGATCAATGTAAGGATAGGGAGTCTCACAATTTTATCCAAAATATGGAAAAAAGAAGTATAAAAACAAAGACCGACTTAAAAAAAAACGCGAAAAATGAATTAGAATAAAACACCAACTACCACATCAAAACAAGAACAACAAGTAAAACAATAAAATAAAAGCATTGTTTGTTGTGGGAGGCCTCATTGTGCTTATCGTTATATTGAGCGAGAACAGACTAAAGCACCAGTACTTGAAGGTTGGCCTTCTCGTCAAATGCAACCTTTTTATGTTATGAAGCAAATATAATACCAGCAAGTTTTCTTATAAATTGCTTTAAACATTGGCGAATATGGATAGCACAAATCCTTCAAACTATGCACAAACCCAACAATATATAGTTTTTGCTACAATTCAAGAACAAAACTCGCAACAAATCGAACAAAGTAAACATTCCAAACAGTCAAACAGATACAGAATTGTATGAAAACCCTGCGAAATATTGATCTTATTATTTTGAATAGTAATTTAAAGACATCAGCGGAAGCAAAATATTGTTTTAAATACATTTTTAGTACTTGTTAGAAAAAACATTTATTTGGCAAATGATGATCAAAAAAGCAATTTTTTTACCTGAGTTTTTCAAGCAGCTGGTTTTAAGATTATTTGCTTGACTTGTCTCAACCAGAATGATTTAGCGTCGTGTCAAGTCTCCATTCAAATTAGAATTTTATTAACTTTTTGTTGTATTGATTCTGTGGTTCCCTAAACGGAATAGAAACAAACATTAATTAAAACAGTTTGTGAACTTGTTGCCAACTCCAGAATAAAAAGCAAACTTTTCAAAACCAAAACGTACCCCATACGAACATTCAATTTGGACAATAATGACAAAGGTAGCTTTAAACAACACCAATAAAATCAACAAAATGCTAAATACATGCACAGTATTTAACTAATGTTAGCCTATTATCAAAATATATGTCTAAATAGAAGCAAATTCCTTGTAAATCACTGAACCTTATGTAGCATTAAGAAACTAAACTTACAACATGGTGAAAAAGTTATCAAAAAAATTTGTTTAGGAAAAAGGGTATAATTGCATAAAAGATAGGAGTCCAAGGGGGCTGGTAATTTCTCACTTTCAAAATATATATGAGATGTCAAGCTAGATAGAAGGGGAAATGGATGTTGTTTCTATGCTCCTGACAACAATTATTAAAAAAACCCTAAAACGATTGCGAAGTAAAGAGATTTCGATCGCGTCCCATGTCGTGAGATGGTTTTAGATTGTAACCCATAACAAAAGAACAATCTTCATCAAAAGAAACGAAAACAAGATAGCACGAAAGGAACTTTTGAAGCGCCGCACATCTATATCATGGTAATAATAGATCAATAATATACGATAATAACAATAACTTATACAGAGTGTCTAAACGCCTGACGAGGTGATAAAAAAAACTAAACGTCAGGCATTCGATTTGTTTTTTGCTGAAAAATCGACAGAATGACCATTATTTCGAGTAACAGAACAAATGGAAAGAAAATCCGAAATAATACTGTTCGACAAGGTTGTATACACAAGCTATAGGCACTTAGACATTTATCGATTGCCTGACGGAGTACTATGAAAACTAAAATGTCAGGCAATCGATTTAAAAAATATATATATTGCTAGAAAAATCATAATTTCAAATGACAAAGCCAGAAATTTACAAATAAGTCTATAACACATTTTTTTCGGAAGACACCGTCAGGCAATAGAAAATATAGTAGTGGCGCACGTAAAAATTAATGGTATATATTAATAATATCTAATAGAGATTAGAATTATATTGCGGACGACAATGATACTAATCCAAAGTAAATACAAGGAAAGAACTCAAAAGTAGACAGATTAAAAAAGCGCCTTAAAACACTTTTCACAGACCAGAAAACCACACTGATAATGTTCATGGTTTACTAATTCAATGTAAGGTTTGTCAATGCTCAAATCGAGCTGAAACATTTTAACAAATATATCAGACAACGGGATACCAGTCTCTAATGAATATTCCAGTCCCATTTGATATTACTACAACCGACTGTAAATATGACAAGAGTCTGTCCAAACGGTTCACGTTCGAGCTATAAAAACTGAATTGATATTTTTTTAAGAAGGAGTAGTTCTTTTACCTGGAATGCTGTTTAAGTTAGTGCGCAAATATAGGAAGACATGATAAGACTTCAGTCGATATGACATTATCACTCTTGTATTATAACTAATGAAAATCACAAGTTGACAAGGTTTAACCAATGGGAAGGCAGCGTTTGAAGTAGAGCAGACCGTTCTAATTGTTCAAGTCAAGTTAGGTACTGTTTGCGACTTTGTTAATTGCTCCTTACCTGAAAAAAACACGAATATCGTCTAAAGATTCCCTGAAGCTAAAACCAACCCTAAGCACGGTAAAACCCTCCCTCACGTCTGTTTCCCAATGGGAATATCAAACATTAATGCTTATTGCTAAATATTCCGTGACGCTCAAATGACCATCTTTACAAGTTAAATTAGACGGTGAATTCATTTTAAAAAGTATTCAAATTCTCTTAATGTTTCACAAGAAAAAAATCTGCGTGGATGCAGTGTCGATATGGAGGCATACAAAATGTTTTGTACTTGACAGGGCTGAAAAAATGGATGCATTAAAATTAGAAAAATGAGCGCATTTCGTGACTCCTAAATGGATTTTCTCTCCAGATAATCAAACCAGTTACGTGATTCATGGTTGATGAATGTAGCATTGTTCAAAGCAGAAAGAATACCACCGGCACTTAGATTGAAAGCCGCATCGATTGACTCGATGTTTCTTTTTTCCATCGATATAGAATCCAATTCACCAGAACTGGCCTTAAAAAGAAAACAAAAAAAGCAAATAGAAAAAAAACAAAGGAAGCAATAAAAGAGCTTTTCACAGAAATAAGATATATATAGATTTGTGAAAATAACTAGTCCATTATGAAGATTTCCTTGCTTTTAATTGGTCACATGATCGGATACTACCTAAAGAAAGATTAAGTTTTCTTTTTGGCAAATTCAAATGTATATTCTCTGAAAGTCTTGTTTTTTTAGTCAGCTAATAACACATCATAACACTCAATGTGAATGATGTATTGTACAGCGTCAACAGGGTCGTTAGGCAGCGTCAAGGGTTTGTTTTGAATTGACAGGAAGCACAGACTATATGTGTAGACCAAATCATCATCGCTTTTAGACGAATACTACAAACAGCACAAGTAGAGAATGACAATGGCAATTTTGATATCAAAGGGTGTTATTTAAGCTTGTTGCTTTTTATCGCTTGTATGACGAGCCAGGTTTGACGCCTAAAGTTCTCCGCCTTTAGCTAAAGTTTCTATAGTAACCCAATGATTTATCAATCAACTTTGTCACCTCAAACGTGCACAATGATGACAGATCGACACACAGAAAAATATCGAGAAACCAAAATCTACTCTGAAATAGATGTATAATAGAATTGAGATTTACGGTTCGATTTACTTGATTTGTTTTTGGATTTTATACCTTATTTATCAAAATCTCCATACCTAAATATTTACTAAAATAGATTTACTGTAATCATCAATAAACAATTTTTCAGTGAAAACAGTATTTCCCATGAATAGCACTTGTATGTATTGTTAACTATATTGTTAGCCAACAGAACGTGCCGTGTAAGGTGAGTCAACCTAATGAAAGTCGCACGACCTACTTTTCTCTGATCACTTCAATGAGATTAGTCCACATGTAAAAAAGGTCTACCTTGTTTATAATATTCTAGATCTGTTTATCGAGTTCTAACCCTTGTGCCGTCTTTTATATTCATATGCTTAACTGATAAGAAAGAAGAAGAAAGAAAACAAATCTCGTCAAATTATGCTTTTTTTTTTGCAAACGATCTGATCATATTCACCAGTAAAAACATACCATCGTCGTTCCATTCATAAGTTGTTTGTCCTGAAGGAAATAATGCTACTGTTTCTATTGATCTCTGCTACCAATATTCAACCTTCATTTATCGTCTGTTAAATCCATTCATTTTTTCAGGATGTTTTCGCTCACTAGTTTATCTATTATTTGAGGTTCGTTTAGACGACTGGAGCCTGTGACAGCAGGGAGTTACCAAATTTAAATTAGCTTAAATTCAGTGTATGTATTAGCCAGGTCCCTCTACTTAGTATCACAATTAACACTAATTTATTCCAGCTCTATATGTTAATTATGACAACCTATCTGATAACCCAGTCATAGGGTTTTGCAAGCACTCATGCAAGTCTCATTTTGAAAGATAATAGAAACGTGAAAACCAAATGTGTATAGTCCGCACATATATATATTGCTAAAGTGATGTCAGTGCTTATTAATCGATATTAAAGTATTATTAATATATACAAATCTAACAAATAGATTCAATCTTTACCTTAACTTCACGCTTGTCTTATCGAAAGGCTGATTGAAAATAGCTTGCAAGCCGTGTATTACACTCATAAACTCTCAGTGACGTTGATTACTTGAAAAAGTTTCAGATCACTCATAAAAATCCAACCCCAAGTACCCAAGCATTCTGTGAGTGACGTCAGGGCAAAAATCAAAAAACATTTCGTTTGAAGGAGTAAGATATGGTGCGGGATGGAAATACTAGTTCTCATAGTAACATGATAATATTGTTGGTATGATTGACCCTTAGGAAGGCCTAAGGGGTTTCAACACACACACACATCCATTAGAAGTTCTGAAAAACACTTTTAAAATGTCCCAAGATTAATTGACAATCCAAATGATCTGATCGAAATGAAGCTCTCGGGTTTTCTTTTCCAAGAATTGATTTTTAATATTAAAATGTCAGCAGTTTTAGAAGAGAAGCGAAAGAATATAAATTCGCGCTTTTATAATTAGTATCATCGTCGAGCTATAAGTTTAAAACCTACTAAATATTAGCTAAGATTTAAAGATATATCTGATGATTAAGACATTTGATACGAATCGATGGATCAGGCCCTCCCTTTCAGTGTTAGTTGGTTTGCATAACCGCTTATGATAAAGCCTTTATAGGAAACTACTGGTGCCATAGCTACTTTACATGACACTGTATATTAATCACGATGCCACTTCTAGAAAGCTTGCTTTCAGAAGATTATTGCAAAACTCAGTCACGTCTTAATGTCAGGGTGGTCGGCAATTACATCACCCACTCCTGTTAGATGGACTATTTATCAAAACATATCTATAAATAGCTTACTTGTTCTCTAATCCACTAAAGTTTCACTCATAGACTGATCAAGTTTGATAATGTAGTAATTGAGGTGAATAAGCGAGTGAAATGCCTGAGGGGTGCGGGCTTAAGTGAAACCTTTTATCGACAAACGGATGCTTGGAGGAGTTTATGTTAACTTGCTGATAATGATGGACTTGATAAGTTTATTTTTTTTCTATCCATTGTTTTTTTAAATGCACATCAATTATTTTGTATCAATACAAAATAACGGCGAGCAACAGTCGTAATTGAGTGTTTCCATGTTATTGCTTTTTGTTTCATGATTTGGAATCCAGATTTGATTGCATTCTTCCTTCGAGCCGACTTATGATTAACCTACAGACAACAGAAAATTACAGACGTCTGTCGATGATAGACCCATGTCGATAGATAATGATAGTGTTTGGTGATGGAAAATGATAAGCCTTTGTCTATAGAAAAATAACAGACCTATGCAGATAGAAAATGATA